GCTGGCTCCTCATCCACATCTTGGCCTCTGTCTGGAGGTATTCCCCAAGGTGCTGTCCTAGGTGCTATTCTTTTATTCCTCTGTTATTTTACTTGTTTATTTCATCAGCTCCCTACAAATGAGATCAAGCAAGATAACATGTATGACACTTTGCAAACCTCACTACACAATGTAAGTGCTCATTATTATTATCTTCCATGGGTTGAATTGTCATCTCTAAGCAGAGACTCCCAGATACAGCCCCAATCTCTCCCTTAAGCTTTAGTCCTGGATCACCATTGCTTGCTTTTTGGATGTTTCAAATCAGATGTCTGAAAGACTTCTTAAGCCAGTGTCTCAAACTGAACTCATTATCTTTCTTCCTAAATCTTCCCCTCTTCCAAACTTCCCTACTTCTGTCAAAGGCATCACCATCCTTCTAGTGTCCCAGTTCATAATCTCAGCATTATTCTTGATTTCTGGCTTTCCCTCACCTCATATATCCCAATCAGTTGCCAAATCTTTATTGTTTCTTCTTTCACAATATCTCTTGCTTCTGACCCCTTCTATCCACTCACATAGCTACGACCTTAGTTCAGGCCCTCATCGCTTCTCATCTAAATTACTGCAGCAGCCTAATAATTGTTCTCACTGCCTCAAGTCTCTCACCACTTCAGTTCATCCTACACACCACTGCCAAAGTAATTTTCCTTAAGAACAGATCTGACCACTTGAATTCCCTACTCATTCAACTCCAGTGTCTTCCTATTGCCTTTAGGATAAAATATAAACTATTCTGTTTAGCTTTTAAGGCCCTATAATCTAGCACTTAGCACAATGCCTGGCACATAGTAAATGCTTAATAAATGCTCACTGATTGACTGACTTCCTTGATCTATTCCCAGTCTAGCTTTCCAGCCTTATTGAAAATTACTCACCTCTACTGCACTCTGTGATCCTGGCTTCTCTATTCTTCATCTTCCATTCCCCTCCCCCCATCTGAATGTCTTTGCACTGGCCATCCCCCTTGTCTGATATGCATAGCTGCCTTGCCTCTGCATCATTGTTTCCCTCTCTTCCTTAAGGATGCAGCTCAAGCATCATCTTCTGCATGAAGCCTTTCCTGATTCCCCAAGTGCTAGTGGTCTCTTTCCCAAACCATCTTGTATTTAATTACTTTGTATACATTTGTATTTATTAACTTTGTATTTATGTTATATATATACACACATATATATTCATATACACTTGTTGTCTCTCTCAAAATATAAGCTCATCACAAGTAGGGATTTTTTTTTTCATTCTTTGTACTTGTATTCCCTGTGCATGGTGCCTGGCAGTAGTAGGTGCTTAATAAATACTTGATGACTGGTTGGTTGATTGATTGTAAGAATAATACCAAGAGCTAAAGCTAAGAATGTACTTGGCTTGGCAATGAATGTTAAGAACAACAAAAATGGCTTTATTAGCTATGTTGGGGGCAATAAGATAATCAAAGGAATGCTAGGCCCATAGCTCAGAGTGCTTGGATGATGACAGTGGATAAGAGAAGGCATAACTACTGAGCTACAATTTTGGTTCTTGTTTTCTCTGACAATAAAGTGACCTTTGGCCTTGGAATGATAGGCTAAATGGTTAACATTGGGATTCAATTCCAGATAAGTGAGATGGTTGTCATCAATGCAGTCAAGTCTTCAGGCTTGAGGAAATATATTTAAAATATCCAAGAGAATTGACAAATATGATTGCTGACCCACTGTCAATAAAAACTTATGGAGAGAGGGAAAATGTTTCTTCAGATTAGAAATGGGCAAATATCTATATTTTCAAAAAAGGGAAAGAAGTATGTAGAATTGTCAAACTCTAGACTAGTGAGCTTGACTTTGAGTTCTAGCCAAATTCTAGTATGTATCATTAAAGGAATCATTTGGAAGCACTTAGAAAGGGAAATGATAATACAAAGAATCAGAATATTCACCAAGAACAGGTGATGACAATGTACTAGAGTTTCTTTTTCTTTTTTCCTAGGGCAACTAGACTGGTAGATCAAAGGAATTCTACAGACAGCTTATCTAGATTTAAGCAACAAAGCTTTTGACAAAATTTCTGAAGCTCTTCTTCTGGACAGGATGGAGAGGTGTGTCTCATCTGGTACAGTGAGGCATATTCAGAACAGGATAAATGACAATAGATCCCTTTGGGTCTTTAATCACTGTTAATGGATAGATGTCAAATAGCTGTAGGGAGTTCTCTAGCGGAGTGCACTTAGGCATAAATCCTGGGCCCTACAAAGTTCAACATTTTTATCAATAACTTGCATAGAAGTACAAATAGCATTCTTATGAAATTTGTAGAAGGCACAGATCTTGAAAGAATAGTTAAGGCACTGGACAACAGAGTAAGGATGCCAAATGACTTGACAAATATAATAAGATAGGATTTAAATCATTTCAGTTGTGTCCAACTCTCTACAACTCCCTTTGGGTTTTTCTTGGCAAAAATACTGATGTGGTTTGCCATTTCCTTCTCTAGTTCATTTTACAGATGAGGAAACAGAGGCAAACAGAGTTAAGTGACTTGCCCAGGGTCACTCAGCTAATAAATACCCAAGGTCACATTTGAACTCAGATCTTCCTGGCTCCTGGCCCAGATCTCTGTCCACTGTGCCACCTAGCTGCCCTTGATAAATATACAGTCCTGCACTGGGTCTCAAAATATCAGTTGCATAAGGATGGGGGAAGTATGATTAGAAACTGTTCATTTGAAAAAGGTCTGAGAATTTTAATGAGCAACCAATCAACACTGTTACACAACGGTTAAAATTTTTTTTTTTAAAAAAGCACTTGAATGAAGAGAGGCATAGTAAACAAAGGTGATAGTCCCGGTGTCCTCCGCCTTCATCAGACCACATCTGAAATAGTGTGTTCAAAGCCAGGCACTGCATTGTAAGAAGGAATTGACAAGTTTAAGCCAAGGACAGATCCCTGGGGCATTTGACTAGAGACTTCCTCCACATTGACATTGGTCCATTAATGAATACCTAATATATGTCCAATATAAATAGAATAGCAGCAGTTTTGGCTATCCTTTTAGGAAACTTAATACTTTGTTCTCTGCTCAAGTCATTGAATAGTTGAGGTCAGTCATAAGAGCTCATCTCCATGTAGATCACATATTGAGCAAAGGAAGGATAATTATTTCTCCCCATTCTTTAGTTTCTGTGAAAGCCCCTTTATTTTTTGTTGACATAAGCATGAGGGCTCTGCAACTTTAGTAGAATAGTATTTCAAAATGTACCTTAGACAGTCAGAAAAGCAATAAAAATATGCACTGGATTGAAAGATAATCAATCAACTGATAAACATTTATTAAGTGCCTCCTATGTACCAAGCACCGTGCTAAGCACTGTGGATACAAAAAGAAGTGAAAGACAGTCTCTGCCCACAAGGAGCTTACAATCTAATGGGGGAGAGAACATGCAAACAAATATATGCAAACATGCAATATACAAGATAAATGGGAAATGATTAACTGTGGGAAGGGGCTAGAATCAAGAGAGGTTGGGAAAGCCTTCATGTAGGAGATGGGATTTTGGTTGGGACTTTAAGGAAACCAGGGAAGTCAGCAGGGGAGTTAAGGAGGGAGAAAATTGCAGGCATGGGGGACAGCCAGAGAAAATGCCTGGAGCTGAGATGTAGTGTCTTGTTTGAAGAAAAGCCAGGAGGCCAGTATTGCTGTATTAAAGAATAATGGCCAGAAGTAAGATACAAGAAGACAGGAAATGTAGGAGGGAGCTAGCTTATCTAAGGCTTTGACTGTCAAATAGGATTTTGCATTTGATGCCTGAGGAGATAAGGAGCCAAGGAGTCTACCTAGGAGGGGTGTGACATGGTCGGGAAAATCACTTTGGTTGCTGAATGGAGGATGGATTGGAGTTTATTGACTGATTGATAGAGAATAAAGTTTCCTGGCTTGTCATTGGCTGGGTGCAGGATGGTTTATAATGTACCTTATAGGACAGAGGGACCTGTTTTTATTAAATCCCTGAATAGGGGATCTGGGGCAAGCAGGTCCAGATATAGGTGTGAGGTAATGAATTCTAGAATTCCATCCTCTAAAACCATCTTCCAGTGAATACTGTGAAGGGGAGGCTCTTACTTGTCTCCTGGGAAGAATCTTTTACTTTAGCCTTCTTGGGCAAGGGCTTGGCAAAGACCCTTTCCTAACCCACATTTGGGGGGGATAATGATGGTGGCGATGGGACTAATAACTGACAGAGCTTTAAAGTTGGCAAAATGCTTTACATACATTATCTCATTTGAGACTAATAACGGCCCTTAAGAAGTTAGCATTACAGGTAGGATTATTATTCTAATTTTACAGAAGGGTAGGAAAGAGTCCCAGGACTGGGAGCCATCCTCCAACTCCCACCCCTGGCATCATCTCTCCTTACCTCTGCAGTCTCCATTAGGGAGACCAAATGAACTGGGTTTGGAAGCCTCCCCAGTCCAAACTGGATCTCAGATGTCAGTTCCAATCTGAAACCTCGGCCCAGCACACCTGAGATTAGAGGCCTGCTGTTCCCAGGTCCTCTAATGCAAGGGGACAGATTGGAGCCCTTACTTTCCAGGTTTCTGGGGCTCTGGGGAAGGATCTGTGCTCTCAGGTCCTTCTTATCAGCCAAGGGTAGCAGGGAGGGGAGACATAGACGGGATTCCCGAGGATCCCTATAGAGGACCTCTAAAGTGGGAGAGCAATCTCCCCGAGGGAAAAAGTATTTCCCTGCGTATGGCTCCAAATTCCCCTGCAGAAGCCAGTGCCCCACCGAGCCCAGGGGGCCGCGGGGGGCGTGGGAGAGGGCGCAGGAGGGCGGGTGTCACATCCTCGGCATCCTCCTTCAGGTCGCCTCCGGGTGGGACTGCTGCCTGCCTGCCTGCCTGCCAGCCTGCGCAGCCAGCGCTGTCCCCTCCCCGCCCTTGCCCTGCTAGGTTACCTCGCCCGGCCGCGGGCGGAGGGCTACGATCACGTTACGCCGTTTCCGGTTTTCCAACGGGCTGTGTTTCCCCTCCCGAGGCGGCGGCTGAGCGGCGGAGCCCCCCAAATGGCCTGGCCAGATGCGGCAGGTTTGCTGCTCAGTGCCGCCACCGCCACTGGAGGAGGCTTCGTGCAGCAGCAGCAGCAGCAGCGGCAGCAACAGCAGCAGCAGCAGCAGCAGCGGCAGCGGCAGCAGCAACGACAGCAGCGGCGGCAGCAGCAACGACAGCAGCAGCCGCCACCACAGCAGCAGCATCGCCCGTCCCGCTGCGCCCCCAGAGCCGCGGCCGCAGCCACAGCCGCAGCCCAGCAGCCGGGACAGCAGCTGCCGCCGCCGCCGCCGCCGCCGCAGCCCGCTGGGGAGCCGCAGCCGCCGGCGGCATGAGGCGAGACCCGGCACCCGGCTTCTCCATGCTGCTCTTCGGGGTGTCACTCGCCTGCTATTCGCCCAGCCTCAGGTCGGTGCAGGACCAGGCGTTCAAGGCGCCCGTGGTGGTGGAGGGCAAGGTGCAGGGATTCGTCCAGCCAGGGGGCTCGAATAGCACCCGAGAGCCCCCGGTTTCGGGCTGGGCGGCGCTGGTGAAGGTGTTGGACAAGTGGCCGCTTCGGAACGGGGGGCTGCAGCGGGACCAGGTGATCACCGTGGGTTCCTGCGCGCCCGTGGAGAGGAACCAGCGCTACATCTTTTTCCTGGAGGCCACCGAAGAGCCCAAGGTCTACAAGACGGCCTTCCCTCCCCTGGACACCAACGGCAAGAACCTCAAGAAAGAGGTGGGCAGGATCCTGTGCATCGATTGCGGTGAGTCGCCCTCCCCCTCCGCTGGGGTGGGGGAGAAGAAGGGGGAGGGGCGAAGAGGTGCCGCAGGTGCCTAGGCCTGGCAGTTGTGGGGGTCGAGAAGCTGGGGGGGTGGGGCTACCCCTGCCCAGGACGTCTGGCACGAGTGGGTGAGGGGAGGTGCGGGAAGAGCAGGTTCAAAGTGTGTGTGGGAGAGGAGGGAGTGCGGGGTTGGGGGGAGGGGGGCGTGAGAAGAGCCTTGGGGCTGTGCCAGCAGGAATCTGCGGCTGATGGATGGCATGTGGGGCTGGAACGCTGCCATTGTAGCCCAGCCGAGGCTGGGGAGAGGGAAAGTTCCGGGGCGGTGCCGGGCCGGGGGCAGTTGGGCCGGGAGGGGGCCTCAGCGGCCTTGTTCAGGTTGCTAGGGATCCCGGAGGGCCCCCTCCTTTCTGGGCTACTGCCCTGGATGGGCTGGATTGGCTCTGCAGGAATAACTGGGCACTCTATTGGGCTTCGCAGGCCCATGCCCACAAGTTCTCCCAGGGAATCGTCGACCCCACCCCACCCCCATCCCTACATGGCTGGCGCAGGCAGAGTTGGACTTTAACTGTTATTGTTTTCTCCATGTGGCACTTTTTTTTACGTGTTGTGTTTATCCCTATCCTCAGCACTGCCTAGCATTGTCAGGTCTTAACCTCTAGGACCAGTGAGCCGGGCCTAGTGATATTTCAGGGACTGTGAAAAGCCTGTTGTTCAGAGTTTCTGGTATATCTCTTAGAGGTTTCTTAACAGGCATAGTATTTCTCTAGATTATGATGATGATAAAATATTGGGTTAACTTTCTCTAAACGGCTCTCAAGTTCAGCTCTGACACTTCGGTAGCAGGATGTAGTGACTGCATCTGTCATCTCCATGATGTTGGGTGCAGCAAAAGAATGCAGGTGATTAGAGAAGTACCATTTTGAAATCTCTTCGACATTGGAGTTGCTCAGCAGATTATTTGATGTGAGAAGTCTTTTATGAAGTGATCTTCTCTATGAGAGAAGAGGTCGTTTTAAAAATGTCGTTGTATCTGGTATTAATATCTTAGTAGGATCTTTCAGTCCAGATTATGGCTAACTTAAATGTTTGGCACAGGTCTTTCTTGTGCTTTTTCAGTTGAGGTATTTCATTGTTTTCTTTTTTTTTTCTTTCTCTGGATATCAAATTGCTGCAACCTACCCAAAGAGAACTTGCTAATTGTATGTAGTTAGTGACTTTCTGAACTATGTATCTACTAAATCATGACAGATGTACTGCACTTCCTTGGAAGTCTGCATGTTTGCTAATAGAGCATCAGACAAGAGATTGCTAGGAGAGAAGCTGTGGGAGGCAGAGAATATATAATAACTATCAAAAAGTTTTGCATTCCTCATTCTTCCAGATTCATGCTTTTAAAATATTGCCCAATACATCTCTCCACTACCTGACATTTGCCACTTGAAAGACTTCTTGGTGTGCCCTACTGGTAGAAAATTTCAGGTATTAGGGAGTATATCTGAGCAGTATATGTTAAGCCATATTACTTCTTTCAGAGTAATTTTGATGGTCTTTTAATGGGGACAACAGAAAAGATAAACCTGTTTGGGGAAAAGCATGCTTTATTACTCTGACATGAGGCAAAACTGTTGGCTGTTATTTTAATGCTTTAACTTATTCTGCACTGGACAGTTGGGACCAGTCAAGAATTGCTTGCCTTCAAGTCTATTTCATCTTACTGGAGACCTCCTCATGGAGCTGTGGATCTTGTTCATATATTCAGTGGGAAATGGGCAGGAAATCTAGTTGTGGAATCTTGCTTGGGGAGTTCAATGTACATATCTTTAAAAGATTCACTTTCCTGTTCACTGAGGATCTGATGGCCAACTCCAGGTATACTGGGAATTGATGGATGTTTTCCCCTTCTTTCTTCATTTGCCACCTGACCTAGAAATTAATAAGTTAATTTGAAAATTAGGAAGCCTTTTGAGGTAGAAATAAAGTCTGTTACTAAGATGGGACATTCTAAAGCAGCATATATGGTTTAGCTATGGGAAAGATAAAGTTAGAACTGCAATTATTGGAAAGAGAAGGCCCTCACATATCATAATTTGCTAAAGAGAAGGGGCTGTGTTTGAAAGCAAACATTTTTAAATGGAAAGATCCTGATTTAAGTTGATATTTGGTAGGTTTCTGTCAGTGTGATGACTTTTTTTTTTGTCCAGACACTAGAAACTGGAAAATGAAAAAGCATTTTGTAGATCTGGTAGGCATTTTGGCAACATGGATGGAGTAGTAGAAACTGTACTTGTTTATTTCAGCTTGAAGAAAGAACCTTAAAATAAGGTTAAAGAAAACACATGTGGTAGTGGAATATTATACAAGGAAACCTATTCATCCTGACCTTGTGATAAGCAGGAAATAAACTCAACAACTTCATTTTTTGTTTTATGTGTGTAAAAGGAGTTTACTGGGCCATCAGGTTGCTGGGATTTTCTTATTGGTGGAGACTGGCCTTTAGCAAAATAAGCAAGATGGCCCTTGATGACTCATATTAAGTAACTTAAGTCCAATTGTTTTATCATTTAATCAAAATTTTCATGTGTGTGGGTTCTGGGAAATGTGGTTCTTAGAAGAACAGTTAAAAAGCCCCACTTTAGGAGGATATACCTTGGGTGGTATATACTGGTGAGGGTGAAGACTGGAGCCTTATTTTGGTGGCTGTCCCTCATGTCCAGAATGCTCTCCCTTCTCTGTTCCAACAACTGACCTCCCTGGCTTCCTTTAAGTCCCAACTAAAATCCCACCTTCTACTGGAAGCCTTCCCAAATCCTTCTTAATTCCAGTGGTTTCCCTCTTTTAATTTTTCCTATAGCCATAATCACTGAATGGGCATTGCCTCAGACAAACTGAGACCTGAGAAAGACCTTAACTTTAAAAAAACTGTCTCCTACTGCATCCAGGGCCATCTCTAGTCATCCTGATCTATATCTGGCCACTAGACCTAAATGGCTCCAGAGGAGAGAGTGAGGCTGGTGACTTTGCACAGCCCTCCCTCACTTAAATCCAACTCAGTTGCAAGTCTTGACATCAACTTCCTGATGTCATGGTCCTCTTTGAGAACCAAGGACAAATAATAATAATAATAATAATAATAATAATAATAATAATAATTTATTCTGCACATAGCTTGCTTTACATACACTTGTTTGTATGTTGTGTCCCCCATTAGGTTGTAAGCTCTTTGAGAGCTGTCTCTTTTTGTATCCCCAGTGCTTAGCACAGTCAGCCTGGCATATGGTGGTGCTTAATAAATGTTTACTGAATTGAATCAGTCCAGTGGCCACATTTCCTTCTGTACCTGTCTTAAAATGCTGTTCTGTTGTCTGCGTTCACAACATCCTGAAGGAATGTATTTCCAATATCATGTTGTGTTCAATGATTTTGACTGGGGGTGTGGGTGGAGAAGGAGTAGGCAATCAACCAACATTTATCAAGTGCTTACTATGTGCCAGGCACTGTGCTTGCTGGGTGCTGTGGATACAGGATCAAAAAAATGTAGTAGTTCCTGCTGGCAAAGGGCTTGCATTCTCTCAGGGGAGACAAAATGTGCATACACACACACACACACACACACACACACACACACGTGTGTGTGTGTGTATAAATGTATACATATGTATCCATGTATACATATATAAAATGTATTTGAAATACAATACAAGGTGGTTAAATAGAAGATAGTGAGGGTGCTAGCAATTGGAGGAAAGGGGAATAAGGATAAGCTTCCTGTAGAGGACTGGTGCTTAATAATAATGGAAATAGCAATAATGGTTCCTTTTGGAACATAAGGATGAATCAAGAAGAAGGAGTTTGTACTGGGCAGCGTGCATTTTCTCTACTCAGGTCTTCCCCTGATGCTTCCTCAAGTTTTGGGGTGACCCTGGATTTTCTAAGGCTGCGCCAGAGATGAGTGGCACACATTACCAAACTGCAAAGGCTTTGAATACAGGTCTGGCAATAGATTGCACCTCTGTGGTATGAAGAGCAGCCTTTTTGTGTTCAGAGAGATTCCTCAGAAGGTAGGCCTCTGCATGATAAATTTGGCCACTGCAACTCAAGAAGAAGGTTTCCTAAAGCATGGAGGGGCTGGGATCTGCATTGGCAGTAGGGGTAGCCACACTGGAGAAATCATAGATCCTTCAAATATTGAAGTAATTGTGTGCATACATTTTCCAAAATTCTATCACTGTCATTTTAGGTTGTTAAATCTCTGAATTTTCTTTAAAAAAGGCATAATTGTGAGTCGTCTCCTTCCCTTTTGTGGGAGGGAAAGAGGAAGAGGGAGAGGGGACCAACTAGGGATAATAACTCCTCACAATGCTATATAAAAGTATCTCGTTCTGCAAATAGCCTTGCATTCCCAAGGATTGCTTGTATTTTGGTGTAATTACACCCTATCTTGCTGCTTTCTCCTGTGGGTTTTCTTTTTAGCAGGTTTCTTTCTAGTGTCAAGGCAGGGTTTGACTTAAGGAGTGAAGGCATCCATTTCCACCCTTTGAACATCCAAACGCATTGGTTTCCTATTTGAGAGTGATAGTTGAAATCAGATACATGTCCATTGGGCTTCCCATTTTTAGGTTAATTACAAATTCTTAGCCTCTAAATTCACTTATCGAAAAAGGCCGTTCACAAAATTCAGTACTAAGCAGAAGAAAGTTCACACTTTTAAAAATCCATAGTTATTTAAAGAATTATTCATTCCTTTAGCCCAGCTGGAAACCCAGCTGTGCTGGTGCTTTTGCATGGGGAAAATGAAACCAACTAGATTAGGAACTGACTAGCCAAGGGGGCCGGCAGTATTGTTTACATAGAGAAATGTACAAAATTAAAACTAAAATATTCTTGTGGTTCTAATCACTGGTAACACAGATTGACCACCTATTGAAAACAAGAGTTTGGTGATAGCCTGGTCTCTTTATCTGTCTCTGTGGGGATCCTTTTTC